GGCGGGATTTTCCTTCAGCTGTACATATGCAAATGTTACTACTACACTGTTAGTACCACTGATGGCGAATGACTGATGTCAGAGCTGCAGACACTGACGGTTCCGTGCGTCTCTCTCAAACCCAGTTTCCACCATACATCTGCAGCCATGACCTCATTTAATCTCTGAGTTGTACGCATCCTCTCCAGGCGAGTCTGCCTCACAGCCATCAGGATCAAAGAGAGATTGGTAGTAGTAAGTCAGTCATCCTTTATTCAGCTCTGGAAATATGTGGAGCGCACACACACACACACACACACACACACACACACACACACACACACACAGATAGAAAAAACACACAAGTGGTGGGAGTATTGCTTTAACTCATCTCTCTGCTTTCATACCTTTCATCTCATACGTCTTTTTACCTCTCTTTTTGCTCTCCACCTCTTCCTCCACCATCAGTCCTCTAGTGAGTCTCATACCTCGTTCCCATTCCTCTCTGCTTCACTCCCACCTTTTCATTTCGGTTTTCTGGCCTCCCGCCTTTATCACTCCCTTCTCTTGACATTTTACCTATCTATCTTCTCTCCTCACTTTCCTGCCAAAACTCCCCCTACATATCTGAGGTCTGTGTGTCATTTATCTTTAGTTGTTTGTTGATTCACTGCTTTCTCACTGTACCATGTGTCACCCCCTCCATTAACTGAGGTCAGGGATAACTGCTCCTCACTGCCAAAATAAGACAGCATCTCTGCCTCTCTTCTTTTTCCTCTCTCCTGTCTCCTCGCTAAACTGACAATTTGAAAAAGGCTGTTTAAGAGTGAAAGAAACCAGAGTTCACGCCTCTGTTTTCAGGGTGTTTTCATGAAAAGCTCTGTCAACGCCGCTGATGTCAGCAGGGCACTGAGGTCATGACCTGATGTTGAGTTTACAATATAACATGCATTATATGTGGAGGGTTTTTTAAGGCTGAATCAGATCTCATTTACAGGCAAAAATGAGATTAAATTAAAAAGAGAGGAATTTAGTATTCCCCACTACAAAGATAAAAAAAATGTGTGACACTAGAGGTGTAAAGCTTTTAGTTATTTTGAAATTCATATATGTTATTCCTATGGTCTAGGGCAGTCCAAAAATATTAGCAAACATGAACTCTCTCCCAAATCCAAAAATTCGAGTGCTTAAACTCAAATTTGTGATGTCATAGGTTATAAAGTCTGAGCTGCTCCATGACAGTTAATTGGGAGAGATGTTCTAGATGACACTGAGGGCCAAATTCACAAAGCACCTTGAATTGCACTTCACTTGCTCCGTCTTAATGTCCTAGGATATTGCGTTAATGATATACCAGCGCAAACACGCCCACAAAGTTTGGCAGCTGAGTGCAGTTTGCCCCTGATTGCAATAAGGCACACATGGCAAAGTATAAATGCTGGCTTTGCGCCAAGAACACCATGGCAGAACAATGGCAGACTTTGTTTGGCAAAGTACTGAATACTGTATACCCTCATGTAGTGATGTCTGCTGGTGAGTCAGTCTAACAGTGTCGGATGGGTTGAGGCTGTGGATTTGACCAAGTTTGACCACTTTATCACTATTCCCTCTCACTTGTAGCTGTTTTTTCGTTATCTTTTGAATTTAATATGAATTACGGAACCGTTTTTGTTCACGTTTGTTTCCCCCGTTTCGTAAAATAAATGTTGCTTTTGAAGTGCGTGACAGAAGTGCGTTTTGAGAACAACCGCAGACTGTCACCTGTTCAACGCATCAGTATCTTCGGATGCCATTAAAGTAATAATGATTATAATAATAATGTCAAAATATTATTTACAGACTGATTTAACAGACGATCACTGCTGCCACGATCACTGGAAAGTCTGGACGAGAGGCTTCCACAGAGGAGCGCCCAGTTTGCACCAGCTTTCTAAAGACGTTATTTGCTTCACTCAAACTGCGTGTGGCTATTAGCGCTGGTGTTAGTGAATTAGACGTTGTTTATCAATGAGGCTCATTTGCATAGAAAGGGGCAATTTTTGCGCCAAATATATGCATATTACCTCATTTAAATACGTGCAAATAACACCGGAGCACCGAGACACAATCTGCTTGGCAGTGCAGTTAGTGGAGCATTTCACCCTCTGCGTGTGCTTTGTGAATTAGACTGTATCTGTTTGCTCCATTTTTACCGGTTTAGCGGCCGCAAAAGCCACACAATCCTTTTGTGAATTCGGCCCTGAGAGTGCTAAGGGGAATATTCTGAGTATGTGGGGACATTTTCTGTTTCTGAGAACACTACAATAGAGTAAAGCTCATTTGGGTATAAAAAAGAAAACAAACATTCTGTTCATCCACAAAATCAGGCTCCCATTCATTGTCTTAATGACATCACAAGTTTGAGATTAAACTCTCCGGTTTCTGGCTTTGAGAGAGAGTAGCTCATGTTCACAATGTTCACACTGTTAAAGGTTTTTTGGAGAATTTTTCCCTATTCACTTATTCCAAGGACAGAGGGATGTCATATGATGGAAAGCCCTCTGAGGCAAATTGTGATTTGTGATATAAATGAAATTGAATTTAATTAAAATTGAATTGAATTAAAATTTCATACATTTTTAAAACCAAAGGTAAGACACCAGGTGAAGAGGTTAAAATGACTACTCATAGATATCACCAAGAATCTTCCTCAGTTGATTACTTATATTAAGACAATATTTTTTGTAGTACAGGTTTTCTGAAATTGTATGTTTAAACATGGAAATGAGGCAGTATCTAACTAAATATGTGCCTTTTGCATCAATTTCCAGAACATAAATCTGTACTAAAATAAACACCTAAATGTGTATTTTGGACATTTTCTTTCCACTAGTCTAAAGGAACTCATTTATGTAAGCAAAAAAAGAACAAAATCTCAAATTGACCAGTGCATGAAAAAACAATATTTCCACCTGTAGTGTCTCCTTTAAATAATATAATATTTAAAATTGTACTGAGTTTGGTTGGTGGCTGGTCAAAAATCTCTCAGGTGGGATCCCCAGGTTCTTTCCCCTCTTGCTCTCCATCATCACCTGTATAGTGTTATACTAGTCAAACACACACTTAAGTTCAGTGGTTTCCAACTGGTGGATCGGGGTCCAATAGTGGGTCTTGGGTCCACTCTGAATGGACTGCAGTTGACTCACAAATGTGTCATAGTTGTAAAAAACACACTCTATTTTTAAGTACAGTGAATTTCTGATACAGAACTGTGTAGAATGAATCCTGCTGTAGAATGAGAATGACAAATGGACAGCTGCTTGACAGAGACAGAAAATTAGCTCAACGACATGACCAAACACAAGTATGGCGCTGAATATATTAGACTGTGTGGATTTTAAACTAATGAAATCTCGACCCATGGCTGAACCAGTTGGAAACCACTGCTTTAGTTGTTCCCATTAACTTTTTGTTCCTGTGTGTCAGACGACTGAATGATTATAATCACAGCTCATAAATGCTCCCAGTTAAGCAGATTAACGGTATTATCAGTGTTGCTGCACTGAAATACTCATCAAATCAACATTTTATTGCTGTGAGGCCATCTGACAAAGTAAACATAATATGACTCAATGACTTATTTTGTATGATTATTAGCTTCATTAACATTTTGAGTGAGCGATCATAGGCAACATTAAAAAGATGGATTCATGAATTTACCGCCTGACCAAGCTTTCAGTCATTGTGTTCCAAAGTCTCAATATTTCTTAGTTTTGAAATGCTCTGTTTTCAAGTGTGGAGAAAAATAAATAGAATAAGATATTTCCGCACGTTGCTGGCTCAGTCTAGTGCTGTCAAAATCAAGTAAGGTCAGTGTGAGCACAACAGTACTGAAGGTGTTTAGGGAGGCAGGAGTCTGTCCTGGGTTTGAATCAGGTGTGATGTCATTCTCCCATCAGCAGCAAAGCCCTTTCAACACTTTCAGACTGACACTCACATGCAAATTAGTAGTAAAAAATAGAAGAAAGGGGTACATTGCAGAGGTATGTAGAGAGCAGCTTTCTTGCACCATTCAGAATTATGACACTGAAATCCAATTCCAGCACAGTGACTGACAGTGAAGGAGGCATGGAGTCTGAATTAGAAGTGGAGCAGAGGGAGGCAGAATGGCAAGTAAATGGAGTCGGAGCAAAGAAAATCATGAATGAAATCCAAACAGAGAAACACAGAGGGCAAGAGATGCATTTCATATGCGGCATGTGCACATACACACACACAAGTTCACACAGTTACACACACTACTTCTTCCTAAGTGGATCGTCAAAGAATCAAAGGCAGTCAATGTTTGAATTAGCCCTCTGTTCTTGATTCAGCCCGTGCCTCCTCTCTGCTGTTCCTGATAATGGAGCGTCACAGACTATAATATGGAAGAGAGCGGCTGTGATGAGCTACACTGTTGATATGAATCATTCTGTGTTGCGTCTTTGTTCTTTTTTCGGGGGCTTCTCCTGTTGTGGAAAAAGGAGAGTGAGTATGAGGAGTGCGAGAGAGAGCCGAGGAAGAGGGAGAAGAAGATTAAAGAGCGAATGCAAAAGGGAGGATGAAAGAGAGACTGAGAGGAGGGAGATGGGGGGGGGGGGGCTGCAGCAACAACAAGGTGTGTGAGTGTGTGAGTATGTTGGCACGTCTAATGGGAAAGGTGTGCTGTGTCATAATGTGGTGGAACGCTAAGCCACTGAAATGAAAAGTACACAGACCTGAGCTCCAGTGCACACATACAACACACACACCTCACGGGAAGACAGTGATTGAGGTGAAAGAGCGCTGTGTCTGTTTCTGACTCAGTATATCGTGTGTATTAACGTTTCTCTTGTTTTTTTTTTCCCCTATTTCATCTTCCACTCCTTTTTTTGCCGTAATACAATATTCTCATCCTCCCATTTTTCCTGTCTTATAATTTCCCATCTTTCTGGAACTCATTTTTTCTTTCCTTACCATTTCCCTTATCACCACCCTTCTTCCCTCTGCTTCCCGGGATCCAGAGAAAGGTAACTGCTCTTTGTGGTGTGTTCAAGTGTGATCGTGGCTCTCTGTTGTTTCCAGTAATCTCTGTGTCAAGACTCCCACCCCACGCCCTTGTGCAATCACGTCTGTCACATCAGGTATCAAATCAGTGGCTTTGCTTCGCCCAGAGTCACTGTTGCTCTTAACAGGAGCACACAAGCAACTACTGAAGGTCTAAATCACTGGTGTTAAATCATCGGCGAGCCAGAACGGCCACGGGCTATTTCCTATTAAGAGTTGCATGCTGTTTTATAGCATTTTGATCCCCAGAGAGGGGACAGAAGTCATAAAAGAACCATTTGTAGTGTGCGAGGCAAGGCCACTCATGCTGCTTTGGTGACACACTGCTCAAATGTCCCTGAACGAAGTGTACTGGATGCATACACACCACACACACACACACACACACACACACAGATCATTGCACTTTCTTTTCTGGCCACAGGCACAGAGCATTATCGACCCAAAGTGTGTGAGCACACAATTAAGCAGAGGAGACAGTCGGGATAATGGACTCATAAACACAAAGAGCCCGCTGTGATAAATGCCGGCTGTGATTGCCATATTTCTGTTTGTGTCTATGGTTATTTGGGAGTGTGCAGTGTGTGTGTTTGTGTATGTGCATGAAGCTGTTCAGCTGCATCTGGTGACACTGCCATCCAGTTGGCTTCTCCTCATGTCCCCACTCCCCTCTTTCACTCTGCTTTATCTGTTTACTCAATCATTTCAGTCCTGGCTCATCCTCCTACCTTTTTGTTCCGCAGCTTGTCTCACCTGTTAATGAGGAAGAAATGTGTCTATCTTTCATCTTCAGTGTGTGTGTGTGTGTGTGTGTGTGTGTGTAGCTGTGTTTCATCTCCCACCCACTTTATGCAGAAAGTTTCTTTCCCGGTGGAGCTTTCTCTCTCAGTCTCACCCTCACACTTCTCATGTTTCTCCCATGTGGCGCACCTCTGTGAAGCGCTTGGCACATAGTTTCCTCGGGCACTGGGACGCACATCTGCATTCCTGTGTGCTTATGTGTACCTGTGTGTGTCAGTGTAGCAAAAAAACAAAAAAACAACAACACCATTTTCAGTTCTGGAATATATGGATAGAGAAACCTGGTGTTTATGAAGCCACAGCATGAAACATGCATCATGTTAAAGGGGCTTTAAGTTATATATTCACCAAATAAACCTTGACTGGTGTGAATTCACACCAAATCACCACCAAATCTTTTGGCGGCCTGCACATGACACAAATAACAAAGCAGCATTTTCACAATAAATTAGGGCGCTAATTAGAGCAGAGCTGCAACAAGAAATAAGTAAATATATCATGATGCAAAATGGGGAAATAATAATAATTGTGTGTTGTCATTTCTTTTTCTTGCAATTAATTTTGTGGGCTCTTTATTGTTGAACAGCTGACAGCAAAAACAGCTGCAGAGAGGCGGATTGAAAGTTATAGTTTCCAAACAGAAGACAAGTCCAAGGACAGACTTTTTTGATGTTTGCAAAGAGTCACCTCCTGTTAGCACGTACAGAATGAAGAAAATATGTGAAAATCCACCCCAATAGAGCAGTGCTTAATGCAGGGTATGAGAATAAAATAATGGGCTCAAAACCTGGGAGGGATTTCAAATGGACAGTGATTTATTAGTAAGATATCATTTTAAGATGCTGCTCAAAATTAAACCCAACAAACTCTGGAAAAATGCTGAAGGGAATGTAAAATACAAATTGGCAATCATACCCACATATTGGCCCTAAGCGAGGTGCCCTCTGGGAAGGCGTGTTGAATCTGAATATGCAACAATGTCCAAAGGTGGCTCTCAAAGGAGTAATACTGTGAGGCTTTGGGAGGAAAACTATAATCTGTTTGCTGAAAATCCAGCTGGTTGCAGCTATTCAGGTTATTAACATTAAGTGGATAAAATCTGACTCTCCCACATATACAATATATGGAATGAAGAAGTGTTATGAGTTGGAACAAATGTCATTAAGGCGACTTCACAAAGAGATGAAATTCAGTGATGGTCCTGTTAATGTAATGAGGTTATTTATCATGTTTTGTATTTCCTTAGCCCTGAATAACCCATAGTTGTTCTCTCCTATCTCCGTACGTGCACACTTACCTAATGTTAAAGGGGATCTATTATGCTTTTCTGCATTTTGTGTCTGCCTCCAGGATGTTCATATTAAACATGGCCAAAGGTTAAAATAATAAGATAAACATTTGTAAAATTAAGGAAGAAAAATCGGCTTGCTGTGTTGACTTGCTGGGTATGAATAGCATTAACATTAGGTGATTCAGGAAATGAAATAAATTGATTTGTGGCACACTTTTCAAGTAACATACTTTAAAATCTTTGGGGGAAGTTATCAAGTCAAAAGGCTCAAGTCCAAGTGAAGTCACAAGTCATTGGTGTTAAAGCCCAAGTTGAGTTGCAAGTTTGGTTTTGTCAAGCTGACACTAAAGTCATTAAATTTGTGTCTGTGGTCTTTGTGAGTTTACACCTCTTGTAAAAACATACACTGCTTGTGATTTAAAGTTTGATATAAGACATAGTGTGCCAGATTTCTTTAAATGGTCATCTGCTGCAGGCATGTTACAGCAAGTCTTTACATTACATAGCCTACACTGCTAATAAAGCTGCTTGCTAACATCAGGAAAACATGTAACGTTGGTTGCTGGTGTTATTCATTTCTCTCAGATTTCAGATCACATTCCTGCAGGGATATGTATAGTTGTGTTTAGAAGCCTTTTATTTGTGATTTTATGGTAGAAAATGTTGCCATTCTGCGTTATAATCATTCCCCGGCTGCAAGTACACTGCTAACATGCATGTAGCTACATGCTAACATCAGGGAAATGTAATCTTGATTGCTGATGTTGTTAATTTCTCCCCAGTTTCAGATCATATTCCCGCAGGAACATGTCCAGTTGTGTTGAGAAGCTTTTATTTGTTATTTTCCATTACAATCACTCCCTGGTTGCAAGTACACAGCTAACATACATGTAGCTACATGCTAATGTCAGAAAAACATGTAGGCCTAATTGCGGTCACCTATTTTGTAAACTTCTCCCTGATTTATATCATATTCCCACTGAAACATGTCCAGTTGTGTTTAGAAGTTTTTATTGCTGCTTTTTCACTTTAAAAAGTGCAGCTATACTCTGACAGTGTCATCGCCCTGCAGCTAGTACACAGCTAATGTAGATGTGGCTACATGCTAACGTCAGGGAAACATGTAGTCTTGGTTGCAGATGCTGTTAATTTCTCCCCAATTTCAGAACATACAGTGGCAGCGCAGAGACACAGAGTTACGAAAGACCTAGAAATGCTGATCAATCAAAGTAGACTTGACTTTTTTTGGGAGGGGGGCGCTAAAACTGAATGAAAAATATGTAACCATCTAATAGTAGAAATCCCAAATACATGTATGAACCTAAAAATGAGCATAAGTCCTCTTTAAAATGATTCCTTTTCCTTTTTTGATTTTCTTTTTTTCCCTTTCTTCAAAAGGATTAGTTTTTTCTCCATCAGTTAATTGTGACATCTATTGTGGCTTGTTATTTACATTTTCTGCCACTTATAAGCATAACAGTTTGAGTGCATCGAGGGAATGTGTAAAGAACCTTGCATAAGTAATTGAAATTTAAATAAATAGGTGTACAGGGTGGAAGATCCCCCACTCAGTGAGGTATAATTACTGAATCATCTGTATTATGGGACAACAGAGATTCTGACTTAATGCCCCTTTAACAGACCCAAATGTCTGGGACATCTTCTGTAGATCATGTTGGACTAAGAGTCTCATCCTACTCTCCAATGTGCTATGTGTGAGCTCAGTCCTGCGTGTTCTTTAATGAAGCAATAGGAGAAGATATTCGGTCTCAGTTAATGTAGTTTATTAAGCAGTAAAGGAATAAAATTACAGAGCTCTGGGTCTCAACTTCACGTCCCTGACGAACAACAAAGGTGTGTCAGTTCACGAAGTCTGACCTCCTGTCCTTTCCCTGACCCAGTATATTTGAGCGTAACAGAGTGTCATTGTGCACGTAAGGCGTTGTCCTCTTCTCATTGGCAGTTCCACTTCCTCCTTCACCACACCACGCCCCTGCCTCGTGTTAATCTGACTCCTTCCCGCTGGCGGTGGGGGCGTGGTTCCTGTTTTGAAAGACAAGAGAACAACACAACTGCCTACACGTGCTGTACCTTACTATCTGTATATCACTTTCTATTCTTTTTACCATATATGAAACTAATTATCTAAGCATTGCGGTATGTGCTCCTCAGACTTCATGTCTCTTCCTCTCCTGTACTTCTCCACTTCTGCAAAGCAAACACATTCAGATCAGCTGAAATCATCTCAGTATTCTCATTGTTCACACATCTAAAACTTATATAGTGAAACACAACTTATAGTAAAACACATAAAATCATTCTATTCCCAACAATCACACTTGCATTATAAATTCATGTGTGATAATTCTTGTGTGTTTTGTCGTGTTTCAGGGACTTTGCCTACGTGGCGAGAGACAAAAACACGCGGGTGCTGAAGTGCCACGTGTTCCGATGTGATACTCCTGCCGCAGCCATAGCCACAAGTCTCCACGAAATCTGCTCCAAGGTGGGTGTCATTACTGTCACTGCCTCCGCATGAATGAGCTTATCTGCTGCTCTGAAACAAGCTATCAGGCTTTAATCAGGGGGACTGTTGAAGAGAGACTGCTGATGCAGTTATTCAGAGCTACTTTTTGAGGCTGTAACTTTGATGCTACTCCTACGTGAAACTAATAGCCAGGAGTGCAAAACACAGTGGCAGTGCCCTGACAGGATTTCTGTTATCTCTCACTGGAGGAGTAAGAGTTGAGCAGAGATATAGAGAGAGGTTTTTAAGAGCCTTTAGAGCAAGGAGAGGAGATAAGATTCAGGTTACAGAGCGAGAAAAGACTTTTTCAGTGTGTATGTGTGTGTGTGTGTATCTAAAATACCAACTACCCAGTGAATACAACAGGGTCACATAGTTACAGAACCCACCAAACACCAGGCTCATGTACAGCGGATCAGGGGATGCAGGAAACAATCTTTTCAGATCGGTAGCAGCTGGATGCACCAGCAACAGATGTAGTTCTAAAACATCTATTAGCACAACGTCTAAGACGCAATTTCCACGAAAATACCAACAACTCACTTTATGGTGCTTCTTCTGAATGAACCTCCCACCTGTTTGCCCCTCTCCTCCCACATGTTCACTATGCACACTGCACTTGGCACCATAGCACCACAAAGAGCAGATTTTAAGGCGAAAAAAATATCAAACCGTTGAAGCACTGTTTGAGCTCATTGAAATGCTGCCAAGAAAAGAGGGCCCAGCATCTTACATATCATACATGACTTTGGGAGTATGTTGAACATAATCATTAGGGCGTGTTGTTGATAAGTTCTCGGGTGGCTGTGGCTCAGGAAGTAGAGCAGGCCGTCTATTAATCGCAAGATTGGCGATTCGATCCACAGCTCCTCCAGTCTGCATGTTGAAGTACCCTTGGGCAAGATACTGATGGCTGTGTGAGCGGTGCGTGAGTGTGTGCATAACTGATGAACAGGTGGTACCTTATCCACCAGTGCTTGAATGAAAGGGTGAATGTATCATAGTGTTAAAGCCATTGAGTGGTCGAAAGGCGCTACATAAAAGACTCTTTCGACATGTGGCCCCCTTTGTACACCCTCAGAAACTAAGGGTGCTTTCACACCTGCCCTGTTTGGTTCGGTTCATTCGAACTCAAGTTTGTTTGCAGTGCAGTTTATTTGGGCAGGAGTGAACACAGCAATCACACTCGGGTGTGCACCAAAACAACCAGACCAAGACCTTCTTAAACAGGTGGTCTCAGTCTGGTTATAAACTAACTCTTTCTCCCACAAGGCATTTTTTCTGGTCCGCTTATAAATGCTGCTGTGTGAACACGAGCTAACTCTAGGCAACTGAAACTTTATAACGAAATTAGTCCCTGATTTGGACCAAAGCAAGCGAACTCTAGGACTGAAAGCACCCTAATTCTCCTGCCAGACTCCATCAGGGTCAATTTTGACATTGTCCAGATCAGCAGGTCTAATGGCGGCTGCAGCTCCATCATTTGAATAAGTGGTGGTCATAGCTGAGTAGTAAATCTTCATCAAAAGTTCATGAGAGTCCATTATGTTTGTATGTTTAAAGATGGCAGCTGAAGCCCTGTCATCATACATAGCACTGGTGACATCTTACTGGAACAAACAGTATCAGACTCTCATTGTCCTTTGAATCACTGGAAATTGAAGCCCTGTCAAAAACCACATCGGAGGCTAGAACATCATCATAATTTGTCACCAGCGGCTGAATCTTTCAGACTGGAACAATCAGCATCTGAGGCTCCATCATATGGTTCAGTGGCTGCTGAAGCCCTGTCATTTCATTGACGCCAGGTGAGCCAATGTGACCGACCTGTGCCTTAAGGCAATGCTATCTTATCTTTGGACAAAATTAGGTCTATTTTCTTCACATATCTCTGGATTGCATCATCCAGATTTCTGGTCATGTCAAAAAGAAATTCATGCAAAAACATGAATTATTCCAGTAGCAGCACACTTTGTTGAATTTAATCACCCTGTTTCCCCTCTAACATATATTAGGACTGAGAAGGTAGTACTTCCCCCAAGAGGCGGGAAAGCAGAGGTTTTACTTTCCAGGAGGGAACACTAATCAATCCACCGACTGAGTGAGAACCCATCACCTTATGGACTGAATACAGATTATGACTTGAAATATTTTCTGTAATGTACCTCTTACTTACTGGATATTTAGATACAGCAGTGTATAATGTTCATTTGGGGCTGATGTTTTAACTTTTGCTGTCATCTTCTAGAAATCTACTGAATATGTATTTAAACATTTTTAAATGTACTGTATGGAAAAGTGAAGTCTGCGTTACATTTGGTGACTTTAACCTCCACCCTGCACTGTGAGAGCAACACTCGGCAGGTTGTCCCCTGGCTGATAGTTCGGATAAAATACGTTCAGCAATATTTCTTGTGAATTTTTTAAGGAATTAGTTAATCACTGAAATGGTTTCTTGCAGGGAGACTGACTGATGGGTGTTGTAGTGTATTATAAACATTGAATTCTGTGAATTTGCTTGACACATCAATGTTGTACGGATATCCCTCTGCACACAAAGAGAAACCAGTTGTCCTAGGACCAGTATTGACCTTGAAGAGGATATATCTACCTGGAAATACAGATTTTATTCCTCAGAGGAATGTTGACCCATTTAGTGAGGAATGTTTTTCTTTACGTAAATTTCTTCGTATCTCCTACCCTGAATCACAGGAATAGCGTGTTTCTGTGTGTCTGTATTTATATATATGTGTGTAACCATGACTCTTCACACCGTCTATTTTAAACACAGTGGTAGTCTACTCTTTACTGCAGCGGAGAAACTTGGTGACCTGAGTCTTGCAGCTGCGCTGCGCTGTGTGAGAGTGTGTGTGTGAGAGAGTGTGTGTGCGTGCATGCGGCTTCTTGCATGTTCCCCTGTGAGCAGAGTTGCAGACTCACCATAGACTTTGATTAATGACACCTACAATTAATCAAGTATCTGTAGCAGCTCAGTGCAGGGGCCATGCAACCTATTCAACACTTTTTAAAGAGTGTGTACACTGCAGCAGGAGAGCAGGAGCAGAGAGAAAAGCGAGACAGCTTCTTTCAACACGACTGAATTTAGATATACCATGTGGTAGAGAGGGTTTTAAAGGATAAGGCTGGTAGTACTTTTTTCTTATTGTCATCAAATCCCATGAAAAGACCAAAACCAACAATAAACTGATCGTCTAACAAGAATTACCTTTGTTGCAAAGCGACACAGCTTATTCCACTGTGCCATAAAACACCATTGTTGTCTAACAACTATTAAAAACACATCAGTAAGCTGGATGACACGTTCCTTTAGTATGATTAGTTTATTGTGAGTCAATCCACAAACTCCCTCACTAGCACACTAAATCCACGGCTGAAAACAGTCCCCACTAATTACATAGTTTACACCTGTTTCAGTAACATTTGCCAACAACTACAGTGCCAGCTGTTTCAGGAAGAATTTAAGTTTATTATTGTGACTGGTTATCTCTGCCAGGTGTAAGCCTGGAGGGGATCGTGCATTTGGACATGTGTGTGCATATGTGTTTGAGTGTGTGCTTGTGTATCTGTCCGTCTTTAGCTAATCTCACAAACTACTGGACCAATGAGACTAATATTTTGTGTGCACATTTATGTGCGGTGATTCACAACTGTTCAAAGACCTGTTTAATTGAGTGTTTTATATTGTTAGACTGCTGACTCATCACTCCTCCTCTCAAACGGTCGATAGGGGCCGTGTGTTTTCTGAAAATCAGCTCAGCTTAAAACAAGTCTTACCGTCTGTTGAAGGCCACATTTTGGCCTTCGTCATAGCTCAAAAACCGCTATCCATAGAAAATTTTAGTGTCATTTTGAACTGGAGTATCTGCAGATTAATTCCATGCCAAATTTGTTCATCTACAAAAGTCAGCACAATATGAGATAAACAAATCAGCCATTTTTGTTATCTTTGCCGCCATCTTTACTGTAAGGGAGCCAGGAGGGACAGTTTCATCAGACGCAGCTCTCCGCAGTCTGGCTCCAACATAATTTTGTGTTGTCTACCACATGCTTGGTTGGGGTGTTTCCGAAGCCGAGCACTTTGCCTGTCCGATATTGTAGACTTGCAGATTTTGCTGTTGATTTGGTCATTTTCCCATGATATTTGTCCTTCTACCATAAGTAAGTAAGTAGGCTATTCCCTTCTTTCCTACTCTGTGCAATGCACTGCGGCTCTGTCAAAAGTACACAATGCGTGTATTGTGAAACACGCTGCAGCACATCTGCTGGTATTAGAAGAATTGTCGAGAGTGGCACTCTATTGAGCACATTTTTCTAGGTTTAAAGATTCACATTTTCAGTAGAAACACATTTGTTTGGGAAGTCGGAACGTGTTGAGAAAGGGACTAACATGATGGTAATGGTCTTTTTACGTGATTTGTTGACAATAAAAAAAAAAATCAGAATATCATCAGTCTTATCTTTTAGATTGTGTTATTAATTCATTGCAAAAAAATATTTTTGGATGCTTGTTGGTGAGACTATCCTTATAGCTAATTTAAGCCCTATTGCGCTCAGCCATACCTTTCCTACCTTTTCTTCTCCCCATTCCCATTCTGATTACTCTCCTCTTCTCTTTTTCTCCCCTCCTTTTTTCTCTAGATTATGGCTGAAAGGAAAAGTGCCAAGGCTGCAGCTGGCAGCTCCTCCCAGACCGGCTCCGATGTACCCCTACAAGGTACACACACACACACTCACACACACATGTGCACACATCTATTTCTTTGAGTCTCGTTCTTTTGTAGTTCCCTCATGAGAGAATTGGATTTGTCAGCCGTGCGCTCTCTTCCCTGCTGTGGTTTCTTGTCTCACATTACAGCGTTCCTCCACATCTGAAACCATATACTATGTGTGTTTTTAAAAAAAAAATGACCTTATCGCCTCAGGAGCAACTGTGAACATTTGTTAATAGAAAAGATAGCAGTGTTTGGTTCAATTACACTCAGATAACGCTGACTCCAGAACAACTCCAAGCTCCACAATCACTGAGCTTTATCCTCCCAGCGCTAATTCTATTCACCATTTCCCATTTTGCTAAGTCCCACCGCTTGTTCCTCTCAGTCCCAAGTAATTATAGGAAGAAAGAGAAAAAAGCACCAGCACAATTCATCCTCTGCTGTAACTTCAGCTGGTGTGCGTATCTGCTGAGCGTGGGGGAAAGGAGCTCCGGCATCAGAATATAAAAGAACTATATCGGCTCCTCACTTACAGAGGCAGTCGACCTCATTAAAACCCAATTAGTGTTTCTTTCAGGCGAGGCCTGGTGCTCCACGGCACCCATCCCAACCCCAGGATCAAAGAACTTATTGGTGAAACATCCCTCACATCTTTTAAAGCTATTACTTGCTTCAACTCATAGTCCTTTAACTGAACAACCAATTGGTGCCCAGTGCGAAGCGCCGTCCTTGAATATATACCCATGCGTGAGCTCTAGAGGTCCATTCAGAGCAAAGGCAGTGGATGGAAAACAGTTCTTGATCTCGCCTGGATTAGATTTCTCCAGAGAAGCTGAGAGTGTGCAATCCCGTGTTGGAACACATATTAGGAGATTAGCACCAAATGATTTTGGATGAGCACCAACACCGGGATAATGGTTCTGCTGACCTCGTCGGCTCTGTCCTGCCTGAGCTCGACTTTAAATATGAAATTAATGCATGAAAACCTCTCGCTGTTCAACATTCATGTAACTGCTGTTTCCAGAGCTTTAGCAGTTCTGAATGTGTGAGATATTAGGAACTTTTTCCATGGAGTACACTGATAAGGTGAATCCAGGCAAAAGCCATTATCCATGATTGATTTCCCTCAGTCAGTCTATACCATCACATGGAGATGAGCTCATGATGGATTGTTAATCTTTGAACTTCAGTAATTAAAATGTGGATTGTGCAAAATTGGCTGGAACTCAGAATGAGGAAGGTCATATGTGGGCTGGTCTATCTGTATTTAAAGATTACCTATAATGCTCATTTTCAGGCTCATACTTGCATTTTTGGGTTTCTACTAAAGCATGTTTAAATACCTTAATGTTCATAAAACATTTTATTTTCCTCATACTGTCTGTGCTGAAAAACCTGTATTCACCCTCTGTCTGAAATTCTTTAGCACCTGTCTCCTTAATCCTCCCTACAGAAAAAGTCTCTGCACTGTCAATGCAGCCGGGGGAATGACTGTGACAGAGTATAGTGGCATTTTCAATAGTGAAAAATTCCCAGTAAAGGCTTCTCAACCAAAATCTTTACAAGGAGACACCTTGCAGCAGGAATATAATATGAATTTGGGAAGAAAATACATAACATTGGCAACCACGATTACATGATTTACCTGACGTTAGCATGTTGCTACATGTAGCAGTGTATGCACATGAAGTAGCGTGCCTGGAGCAGATGACTGTATAGAGAAATCTGTGCATACTGTGCATATTCAGTGGGCCGCATTCCCCAAAAGTAAACCTGGAGGCTAGAAATTTTTAAGTGTATGTATACTTGTGTAACAGGTGCAACAAAGCCCAGCCAACCACACCCATGTGATGCTGGATGTGGACAGAGGTTACAAAGGCTTGAAACTTTCCACCAAAGAGAGTAAAAACACTGCCTCTCAGGGTGCTTTCACACCTGCCCCGTTTGATTTGGTTCAGTCAAACTCAAGTTTGTTTGCCCTTTAAGTGAGGTTCGTTTGGGCAGGTGTGAACACAGCAATTGCACTCAGGTGTGCACCAAAACAACCGGACTGAGACCTTCTTGAAGATTTGTAATTGGCTCGTGTGAAACATTTTAGTGACTGGCCTTTTGTTTTTTCACCATTTCATTCATTTCAGCATTTTATTTTGTGTTAATGGATGCAAACAAAAGTCTGCACTCAGACCAGAGACGCTGCAGCACATGGTCAGCACCTTAAACTTGATCAAAGGTTTCATTTAACAGTTGTATATTATACAGATGTTATTAGGTTTGTATATAAATGCTCTAATTTACCCCCTGATCTAAGTTTGTCATTCAACATAATGACATTTTAACAGTCTCAATAATATTTAATTCCATGTTGCAATTAGCCCTCATTTTTTAAATCCATGTTGACTAGCGATACAGCAGATAATTAATAATTAATGTCACCATGTGGAGGGGGATTCTTCAGCTGTGAAGGCCTGTGTTGACTTTGTATAATTTCAGCACATTGGAGGATTTAAAATCTTTAAAGTCCGAAGTTAAACAATTAACCACGTTCAGAGCTTGGCCTTTTGCCTTGTCAGGAACCATCTCAGGCTTACGCAGCTAATTGCAGGGTGTGTTAATAACGAGGTCCCTGGGGGTAAACGATGTTAACTTATGTGCTGATTGCGATGCAGGTGATACAACATCTTTGATCATCCTCAGTCACTCATCCTTTCTGCCTACAGGCCATTGTGTAAACAAGCACAGCTGGGTGTTCATGCAGAAAACTCTGAGATCCTGCATGCCCGTGTGCGAATATATTTTTCATGCTCTAATCATGTCAACAGCACCCTAAAATATTAAAATATTCACCAGTATTTGTTTATTTCTCTGGTTTAAGCCAATTATCATGTGTGGACTTTACTTTTGGAACTTTGCGTTAGATGTTGTCGTGAGATAAAATTCCCTGCGGGCGGTCTGTGCCTGTGCGTGTGTGTTTTAATGCACGTCTGTGAGTGTGTTTTAATGTGTGTGTATTTTCTCTCTGCAGAGTTTCCCATGCCAAAGACGGAGCTGGTGCAGAAGTTTCATGTGCTGTATCTGGGTATGACGTCTGTGTCTCGCCCCATAGGTAAACCTCAACTAACCCTGAAACCAATACACACGTCATAACGCATCCTGCAGCCTATAATAAAATCCATCACACACTGTCTCACTGCGCAGCCTCTCCTGTGCTTTGTCCCCAGGTATGGACATCATAAATGGGGCCATAGAGAGCCTCCTGTCCTCCACAGGCAAAGAGGACTGGACTCCTGTCATACTGAGTATTGCTGACACCACTTTGGCTGTCATCAAAGAAAAGGCAAGGGACTTTTTGTTGTTGTCCTGAGGAGCAACCGATAAATAAAAGATGTGAATGTGCTTGTAGATTAGAGAAGGAGATCTAATAGTGTTTAGCGCAGATCTAATTTTCCTCTTGGCTGTCTGTGCAGGAAGAGGAAGAGGAGGTGTTGGTGGAGTGTCGAGTGCGTTTCTTGTCCTTCATGGGCGTGGGTCGAGACATACACTCTTTTGCCTTCATTATGGACACTGGGAACCAGCATTTCCAGTGTCATGTGTTCTGGTGCGACCCCAACGCAGGCAGTGTGTCCGAGGCTGTGCAGGCAGCATGTGTGGTAAGTTTATATTACTTTTGTCATGAAATGATGATGAGATGATGCTATATGTTGTATTCCAAAATTATTCTTTAAAGATTTTGTATTTAAAGGAATAGTTTGGCATTTTGTAAAATACACTTTTTTGCTAGTTTGCCAAGAATTAGATGTGAAGATCTACACTGCTCTTATGTCTGTATGGTAAATATGAAGCTACCACCAGTACCAGTACCTCTAAAGCTCACTGATCATATCTTGTTTGTTTAATCCAGACAAAAACCAAGTTTTAAAAATGACACATTCTGGTTTGTGGGCTATGTCCTGGACTGTGCTGATTATTGTTACATCTCAGTAAACAGATATCTGCATATAAATGCAGAATCTGTGGCAGGGACAAGTTTTTGATATCAGAAGTGTTCTGGTCTCCGTTTTTGGTGTAATGGAAATTATTAATATAATCGAAATTAATCAACAATATAATGTCAATAGTTCTGACAGCATCTTTTACAGCAGAAAATCTTTTGTAGTGTACCTTTAAAACCTTATGTAAATCAGCCTCAGGATCTGATGTCTCCTCTCATCCAGTAGCTTGATTACATGCCACTTCAAGGCCCTGAATCTTGCCACCTGCTATTCTTAGGCTTGACCAAGTATTGACCAATCACATTTGAGCAGGCTTTGATTGCATGCAGGTAAACAGTCTGTGTGGCAGGGGAATACATTGGCCGAAATGCAGTCTTGGAACCCATCAGCTATCTTCTGATGATGATTTAGCTTTATATTAGATTTACTAAACTGGCTGAAATAATCAAGTTGTACACGTTGTCTCTCAACTCAACATTATTCTTGTGTCTCAAGGTGCTAATAGGATGAGACATGTATAGTTACAGCCACATTCCATTTGGAGCCTACGCAACACACCCCTACCAGCCTAGCCCATCAGTAGGCTACAGAATGAGCCCACCAACTGGACGGTTATGTTGCCCCTAGTGGTTGGCTGCAGTAAAGGTCATAAACCCTGCTCCCTTCATGTTAGTGGATTGGACATGGACCACAATAAAAGATTAGAGTACACACTGATGTTTGTTTCATGAGTTTGCTTTTAATTAGTTATTTAATGCTATAAAATAGGGACTGATGCCATTATTGACAGCTGTGAGTGCCTGTGAACAATGGCACTATTTGCCATTGGTAGGATGGGTGTATTGGCGGGAACTTGATATTGCAGTGATCACTACTGCACAGACTCTCAGACACTCCAAATTATGTCATTGGCAGCGGCCGAATCCAGAATATTTTGCCTTTATATTTATCAGTGGGAGTGAGTGAAGATGGGTTGTCCATCTTTATACACAGTGTACATTTCAGACCATGATATGAAGGGGGCTGAACGTGGGCCGACATGTAGGTAAGGCAGGGGAGTCATGGAGCCGGTGGGCAGGTCACATGTAGCTGCTCCAGCCGCATCTATACCTACTCGAATCGGACTGTAAACCAAGACCGACGCGGGGACAAGGAAGTCCAGGCCCAGATATCCATTATTATCTGTTGGCGACAATGGAACCCCCAAAATACTGGCTGTTGCCACAGGTTAGATCATCATCAGACCTATAGCCGATGAGTTTTGAGATTGGTTACATTGTGATAGAGCCAGGCTAGCTGTGTCCCTGCTTCCAGTCTTAATGCTAAGATGGCCGGCTGCTGGTGATAGCTTCATATTTAGTGTATAGACATGAGACTGGTATCAATCTTCTTGTCGAACCCTCAACAGGACAACACATAAGCACATGCTAAGAACTATTCCTTTAATAAATGAGCTATAAACTGCAGGGAACATTCATCTCGCTTCATGTTTTCTTTGTTTTCACCTAAAACCGAAATGATAAAAACTCCTCTACTCCTCCTCTTCCTCAGCTACGGTATCAGAAGTGTCTGGTGGCACGGCCGCCCTCCCAGCGCGCTGGCTCCTCAACCTCGCCCTCCGCGGACTCCGTGACCCGCCGGGTGACCACCAGCGTGAAACGTGGCGTGCAGTCTCTCATAGACACTCTGAAACCCAAGAAACAGCCGTCGGAACTCCCCCAGCAATGACCGTCACCAGTGACCACCGCAACCCCTCTCCTAACCGCAACCGGATGCCACTCACACACTATCGCCACAACAACACCTAATCAGTACCAGCCATGGTAACCAATGATGTACATACATGTTAACAAACACCACCGCAGATGAAGGAAAGAACAATCCTCCAGTACACCTGATGATTTAAAAAAAAGAAAAGAAAGGGTCATCTGTTTCATGAGGAGGAAAAGAAAAGCTGGTGTCACTGGTTGAACTTTGACCTTTGAACGCTGCCGTGTCTAAGTGCTTCACTGGCCCTCACTGTATGCGGATCTCTGGGCTCAATGGATAACTTGATGGAGCACTCCACAGACAGGATACAGAATAACCCAGAGGAAGAATAGATCACATTTCTATAAACAGACTGGTTTATGGAACCACTCACTGGTTTACTCAGTTTTCTTTCATGCTCTGTCCCATCCTGTAAAGACACTCATCAGCACAGTCAGAGCTCCTGGACCAGACGCCCAAGACGCCAAGCTACGGGAGCCTTCCAGGACAGAAAAGGTGTCGACTTGCTGTCATGGGATTTTAACAGCTGAATAAGAAAAGAAACCAGACCTGCCAACATGCTCCCTCCCACCAAATGGCATAAAAATGTTTTGATCCCTTCAATGTATGACAGACTCCATAAAAAAACAAAAAACTTAACATGTCCTTCGAGGATGAAAGAAGTGATTGTAACGATGAAGTGTATGTAAATGATTGTATGTAGGAAGAGAGAATTTAGGGCACAAAACTTGTAGATAAGAGGGGAGGAGATGAAGTGTCGGTGACAGATGTGGGTTTTGATTTTGCATGTTTTCTTGATGGGATATGTTTTACATTGACGAGTTAAAAAAAGGGTCTTGGTGAGAAGAGTGGTGAACACACAAGTAATAGATGCTCTCAGCACAAGTCATCACCACTTGACCATGACTGGATTAACACTGGCACAAACAAAATCTGACCCATAAAAGGTTGCTCTCTTCCCCATTTACCGAATCACAATTAAAGATTGTCGGTCAGCAATTTTTACCTTCCATTCCTTGATGGATGAGTCGATCAGCAAAAGAACGGTAACACTTTTTAATGTATTTTAAAGCTTTTAATTAGTTATGATTGTAAATTCTTTTTGCATACATTATAGAGAAACTAGAGTTTAAAAGCTCAAGAATGTTACATTGCTTCTGTTTAAACTTTACAATTTCCTCAGGAATCTTTATGCAGACACCCCAGATTTATGTGGTAGCAACCAAATCCAGATCCAGGCTTTGACTTTGGCAGATGTGAAGCGCTCGAGTCTATATGAACAGTGGCACACGGTGGCGTTTGTCCTGCGCGGACAGCACGGAAAAGATCAAATCTGTGCCGTTCGGTTCTCTTCCTCAGTAAATCCAGTCAGTCTATTCCCACTCACAAACAAAATACACACACACAAACATACACATATATGCACATACAGCAGTGAAAAGAAAAAGTCTGCTGTCACTGGTATCAAAACCTTGACACTGCTCCTATGGCCCGTGGCCACCACCTGCACTCCACATGAACTCTGTGAATGCAGTCCGATCAAAGACACACAAGACAAACAAGAGATGCTTAAAAAATCATTTTGATTCTGTTCTTCACTCATCTCCACACCATGTAAATGTAATCTGTTGTGACAATAAATGCATTACCAAAAGAAGAAGGGAGTAGCTTCTTGAATACGTCCTTTGATTTTTCAGGTCAGTGGAAGCCTATGTAATAGCTTTTCAGCATGCAGTCACACTGAAATGACATTGGCTCAGCCCTATAAATATATGCAGTTTGATTAGACTCTTACTGTGGCAAGGTTGTTCTTTACGGCACACAGAGACACTGTAATAATGACAGGTAATAACGGCTCTAGAAGCACAGGGGATGACTTTTTTTTCTCCCACATGATCAACAACACTGTACATAATCTGGTGATAGATTTAGACTCTACTGGCTTTATTTATGTAAGCATTTGGCACAAAAGTTAATACATGTTTTATATCTGTGTTGATGTTTGTGAGCTCAAAACAGAGGGCGAGATCTGACCATAGCATCCCTGGAGAGACCGCCACTGGAGCGGGAGAGGGGCACCGTCTGAACCGGGGTTCTCCACTTGCAGTTGAAGCTGCGGCTGAAACTTGGTCGGTTATGCTGATGTGAGAAAGGGCTGGGGAAGTGAACAGGAGGCAGGACGAACACGACAGGCTTCAGCACCACCTGAGCTCTGCGGGGACGGACGACCGGGGCCAGCGGGGTAGGAGGTGGAGGGGCGGGAGGCAGAGAGGTGGTAGGAGTTGTAGTGTTGGACACAGGGGTGAGGGTTTTCTTGGTTGTGCTGTGTTCTGGCTTGGAGGAAGAGAGGGAGCTGAACACAGTGTTGTGTGAAGCCTGCAGGCACAGAGCTTTGGCTTTTCCTGAAGGACAGAAACAATGAGATGGAGGTCGGAGGGAGAAGACTGGATTGTTGGACCGTGCAGAAACCACTCAGAAAAGAGGATGAGGAATAACAGTACAAGACATGACATGCTTATATTTAAACCAAACCTTCTTCCTTGCTACTCCTTTTAGCTAAAATCTTAAAGGAATAAAAATGTCTCCTTTAATCAGCTGTATGTTCCTGTTACCACATACAGGACAAACATAATCATGCCCACCTTGTGACAGCTGCCGCCTGTTAGTGAATTCCTGATGTCCACACAAAGTAGTACTGTTGCTGCCCTTGGTCTCTTGGGTTTTGGCCTGAGCGCTGACAGAGGGGTGGTGCTGAGAGGTGCGAGCATGGGTCGTTTTTGTCATCCTGTTGGCGTGTCCATGCTGCTCTTTTCTGGTTGGCTGGTTGGAGCCAATCCTGTCCAGTATGCCTTTGGCATTTGCCCTCTCAAGCACTTCATGTGGCAACTCTTTGACCTCTGTATGTATTGTTGACTGAAACATATTGTATACAGAAGCATATAGCGCGATGTCATTTGAATTTACTCAGAGACAGATCAAATGTAAGAAATGTGTACATTATTATTATACATGAGAAATGTGGTGGCATCATTAAGAAATATGTCTAACATAATGTTTTATCTGCCCTAAAGAGCAACTTGATCATACAGTACATCCACACTCTTTAAGCACTAAGCAAAATCATATAATCAACATTTAATGGATACTAGTGCAGCATCCATTCAAAACATGTCTGTTTGGAACAGGTCCTAAGCAACACACCTGCCAAGTGTGAAGTCGACTGTATGAGTGGATGTCAAGAAAATCGATGGACAGGCATAGTGATAGAGTACAACATGTCATACACTAAAAACCACCTGAGGGGAAACAAACGCACAATATGCAGCCAAGGGCTGAAACTAAAAACATTAGATTTTACCATGTCAGGGTTGTATTAGCACCTTATGTGTACCAGAGAGGAAAATAGATTGAGAAACTCAATATCATCAGTCTAAAATTCTTACAATACTTAAATATTTACAACTATTTGATCGAATCACCAGGTAGTATCATTATTTAACCTAACACAGATCAAATCCTGGCTTTACATAGCTTAGTTATTTTCAATCTATACTGCCTCTCTGACCAAACTAGTAACTGTAACTTATATTTGGGAGTCATGATTCCAGTTTTCTTATTGCTTACACCTCTCGTCTTTTGGCCTGTATCTACGTTTGTCTTCTTAAAGGTTTAGCATCTTACAAAAAGTTAGTTCTGGGTTCTTAAACCGGCTGGTAGTGCATCCCATTACGGAGCAGCTTTTTAGGGCCTGTGTCAACATAGCTTTTTTTTTCTCTGAGTGCCAGCTTCTTTGTTCATTTGTTCCCAATGAGGAGGGAGTGTATGCAGCTACAGGCAGCCACCTAGAGAAGAAGTGCCATGTCCAGCGTCCTTTTTCAGAGCGCACCAGCTTTACTGTGCGGCCGCTCCAAGAGCTTCTAGTTGAAAATCTCTGAACTTGTCAGAAAGGAGTTGGTGTCCTCAGTGCTGATCCTTCAGCTACTGTCTGTCTGTCTTTTATGTGAAACCATCACAACAAAGACAAAAAAGCCCATTTGTGGGAGCAGATAGGTCGGACACTGAATGCTGCTGGTGAGTGCTGTGCTTTTATCACTGTATATGAGCTAAGCTTGTTGTTAACTATGTATTTAGCCCTCTGTTAACGTAGCACCACGTTAGCGACCTAGTTAATGTTGATGTCAAGATAATGTTAAAGAAACAAAACCCACATGTGACGTGTCACTGAAAAAGAAAAAGCACTGGGAGAGCTTTTTGATGAAGCGCTCCCTGCCTTAGTTTTCTGCCAAAGGAAATCGCTATGTGGATACACGCCCATAGGCATATTTCTGTTGTTTGCTAGCAGATGGAAGTGACAAGGTGGCACCTTCACGCTATACAAAGTCAATGCAGTGCAAAGAACTGTTTTCCCCTTTGGTGTAGGCGGGGCTTAATTGCACTCTGTCTCTACACAGAAAGACAAAGACTCCTTTGATTTTAGTTATTTACTAAAAACTACGTTCAAAAAGTACAATTAATAGTCCAGGTGCTGCATATTATAGTAAAGGAAAAGAGGAGAGGGGAGAAAAGGAGGGTGCCACCATGTCCTTGCTGGTGGCTGCAGGGTCACCTGCTGTCTCAGCACCGGCCCACACTGCAGCCTACTGCTCTTCTCAATGCCTGAATTATTCACAAGCACAGTGTACACTACAGGGACGTGCAGCCTGTGTGGGTTTAACTGCGTATTTTGTTTTTAAGTGCTTGCTTGTACTTTAAGGCAAATGCATATATGTGTTTATACAAGCTGTTTGCAATTCTATGCACACAGGTATTTGTGCATACATGCTGTAAAACGTGCGACTGCATACTGCACTTGTGCATGTACGTATTTGTGTTGGCACACTCTGTGCACACAGGTAAACATGCTTCAGAGGCACCGCTGTAATGCAGTCTTTGGTGGACGCCCTGAACTTCATTGATGCTAACTCATACAGACAGGGGGCGCTGAATTATTCAACAGACACTCTCCCTTGCCTCCCTTCCCTTCCCCTCACCCCTGTAAATCTCACTTCCTCTCCATCTCCACTAACCAACTGTGCCATACTCTGTAAATCTCTCATTTCCTTCTTGACTCTGCCAAACTTAGCTGCCACAGCGTACCCTGGAGCTGAACCCATTCTGTTTCAATACTTACGTCCAAAATCTGTATGTATATATATCTTGGCAACTACACCCACATTTAAAAAGCTCACCCTTAACGTTGAAGAAAACAATCAATGTGAAAAGTGTAGGGTTCTGAATCCTCTCTTATTATTGTCCAAATTCATCCATCACAGGTGGACTGTCAGAGGAGGGTCCACCTGTGATGGGCTCTGCTTTTTCTGGAAATTAGGACAGAAACACATTACTTGACTGTCTTTATTGTTCCCAGCTGTTTCTGTATGGAGGGCTCATAAAGAACTTCACTGGGCGGAGCTATGACAGGCGATGTAAGCCAGACAGCATTCAAACACTTATATAATTGCTCTTTTTATGGCGCTTTTCAGAGTGCCACAATAACTTTTGATTAGCTGAGTTTATTGGAGGTGGGGAGAAAAAAATCCTGTTTGAGGCACCATTACAGCACTTTGATTATCTTTTCATTCCTATCTGCGGAGGTATAAAACATGATGGATGGCCAGGAAAGGAACAGACACCACAGTGCGGAGCGCACGTCACACCCGGTGGGAGTAAAATGGCTTAATAACCCTGCACTGGCATCATAAGCATAAGAGCAGATTTTCATAATGTGAAGGAGTATGTCGTAAATGTGGCCGCGTTGTGGATTATGAGGACGTGGGGAAGCCCGGTCACACAGACCTGATGAGACTTGCTGATGCGCTGTTACTAATCCACGGCAGAAGACTGCACCCACAGCTAGTTAGAGCTGAGCTTCCCTCCCATAATAGTCTTACTGTCAAACTTAACAACCACCGACAAAAATACTAAAGAGGTGGAGGAAGAGAGGAGGTGAGAAAGAGAGAGGACAGACGATGAATTTGGGAGAGACTTTATGAAGCAATGAAAGCCTTTGACTAGACAACACAATAGAGTCAGAGACAGAGTGCTCTCCAATAATTAGCTCCTTTCAGACAGAGCTACAACAAACCCAAATCCCCTCAAAGACACTTCTACAGTATCTAATTTCCAAGTGTTACTCATAAACACCTTCAAACACACAAAATGTGGACTTCTACATGAATCCTCCATTGGGTACTCAAATCCAACACCTATTCTCTGCTATAACTGCAGCTCTGAAGCTAACCCTCTCTTCTCTCATCCTTTCATCTCATCCTGACTATCCCTAAATCTGATTTTTTCCCTCCCATATCAGCATTCATTCACACTCATCTTGCCACCTTCTCCTCCTTCATCTCACACTGTCTGGTTGCCAGATTAGACTCGGACACAACGCCTGTGTCTGTGACCCAACATTTTCATTTCTTCGAGCAGCTTGACCAAGTACCTGTCACACAGCCTGTGATGCTCATTTCC